ATATTACTGTTTTTACTGTATTTTTGAACAAATAAATGCAGCCTTGCTGAGACATAAGAAACAAGGCTCATTTGAGACACATATTACACCACGCATCTACCAGGTGTAAGCAAGGCCAGTGTGTCCCGTAATAGATATGCAGTTCCTTTACGCATTTACGGCTACACACATGTTTGTTCGTGGCCACATTTGCGCAACGTCCTGCTGCTTACACAGGAAGAGGAGGTAGAGCTACTTCCTGTCCAAGAGGGGAAGAGTAAGGGTATAGTGGGGGCCACACTTCCTGTTAAGAAGAAGGGAAGAAAGAAACAGAAAATATACAGATGACATCATGCGGTAGGTTTGCTGGACGGGGTTTTGGGGAGAGTCCGTAGATTGGCCTGATGGAAAAACTGAAGCAAGTGTGCGAAGAAACACACACACACACACAAGTTCACTCTTCAGCTGCAAAAATAAAACACTTAAACAGGTCAAGCTCTTTCGCCTTCTTACTTACTGACACATGAAATCACTAACACTCCCACGCGTGCAGACGCATAAAACACACACAGACACGCAAAAACATGCTACTTGAAAGTGAACAGTGTGGAATTGGATTTTTTCATAATATGAAGAATATGTGAGTGTTATGCTTACCGGCATTATAGTAGTGTTCACAATAGTTTCGAGTGTATTTCTATGCAGTACCTCCTAGAACTGTCTCACACCATTGCGTTCCCAAACATCAGGCATCCTCCTCCAAATGCAAGTTAACATGACAGCGTTTGTTATCGCATGTGCCATTATGAGCTACAGTGGTTTCCCCAGTTCCAGCAATATCCATTTTTATTAGTGATTATTTACACCAGTTTCCCAGGAAGTGACAATTTTGTTCTCTTTAACACATGGATGGATTTATTCGCAAAACTATTTATGCAATATTCCATTTTTAAGTAAAATCCACAACTTTGAATGGAAACATAGCTTGAGATATGCAAACGCAGCATGAGCCTTGATGTCTGAATCATGAAAAAATTACCCTTTAAGGCCTGTTCACATGATTATTACTATAATGATAGTGATATAGTTTTAAAAATCATGTCCGCAAGTCCACACCACAACTATAACAATAACGACATGCAGGAATGATATAGTTGGAATCACTTTTGAAATGATTTTTTTTCTAGCTGATGAATGCTAAAAACATTGACAGCCTATCAGAATCCATCCTGCTTTAAAAGCTTGAGCATTTACAGTGGCAGACAACAGAACAACAGCACATGGTTATAATAACATTATTGTGTATTGGTACATTAGAGGCTAATGTAATTATCCTTATAGTTATGATTTTTGGTATGAATGGGCCTTTTATGAAATGGTTCTTTTTATGAGTCAGCCAAAAAAGCTTCATGAAACAGCCTCAAGTTCCTTTTAGTGGTTTGAATCAGACTGACTCAGTCAGTGAATCATTTAGAGTCGTTACTGCTGACAGAGTCATTTTCAAGCTGATTTGAAATTAACTGTTATTGTGCAGTATAACAGCTATATTTTAGGTTTGTGAGATTTACATCTGCAATTTACTTATTATTTATAACTGTTCTTATTACAACATGTAATAAATAAAGATACGTGATTACAGCAGTATTTTGGTTGAAAAAATAAAGTACATTATAATAGACTCATTTAAAAATGTTTTAATATTTTTAAAAAAATCTAAAATATATATCAATACATATAATCAAATAATATATAGTTTAACATAATTTCCAGTTTTAAGGCTGAAACTTTATTTGAGTGTTTTAACTATATTAAATACAACATAAATATTATTTCTCTTTTTTTCTCTCTCTGGAG